GGGGGGGGGGGGGGGTGTGGTTATGAGGTGAGACAGAAAGAGAGGGAATGATGATGGTTCAGAGCTCTGCTGACCACTGGTCCTGCCTCTGACCTGGCAGGGACATGACAGCTGTGGGTTCCCTCAGACCTCCGCCAGGATCCTCTACCACCACTGAGCAGGAAGCATCTGCTGCACAGCTGTGAGTGGAGAGATCAGCACTTACTCCTTGGCTGGTGAGCAAAGTCCTTCAGGTTTGGCCCTACCGTGTCTTTTCTCTTACTTCTTGAGGTCTGGGACAATACAAACTGTGAAGCCTTTTACAACATCTAGTGATTACCCTGACCATGAGCATGTCTCTGTTCTACTAAAAATGCCATTTGTGGGCCTATTCTGGATGAGGATTAAGGTCAGTCTGGAGCACATTCTTTACAATGCTAACACAGACAGGCAGATACCATGTCACGTGAAGTTCAGTTTTCTGGTAAGTATAGAATAGAGACAGGAAATACATATATGTGGCTGCTCTGGATGAGGAATATTTAGGGCCAAGTAGCAATACTCACTTGGAGCATTTTCTAGGTATACACTCCCTGAACTCCCAGTCTAAACCATCACCAATCTGCTTTTAAAGTCTGCATAATCCTTTAGAGGGGAGGCTGTGCTGCTGTTGTGTAGAGTCCCTAGAGTCAAGGGCACAGGTCTCTATGCCCTATGCATAGGAAAGGCTTGAGTGTCCACACACATGTCCATAAGGCTCCCTAAGGAATAGGGCAGGAAATGAAAAGGAGACAGACCCTGCCTTGTTCTGGTACAAGAAATCTAAATTCAGACTTTCTCTTTCAGATTGATATGAACACCACAATCTGTTAGCTTTCAACTATCTAGACATCTGACACATGGGTCTTCATTGGTACTCTTACTATGCCATGCAAATGTTAAGCAGCAGGATGACAAAGCCTGGGCTACAGTAGGTGTTCAATAAACATTAGCAGAGAATGGTAAAGTTATGTCTCAGGTGGCAATAACAAGGGCTTGCTGGGGCCTGACACAAGTGGCAGGGATAACTAGAAGTCTCAGGCACCTTTTTCTAATCTCTGACCTAAACACCCACCTCTGCAGACCAAATATCCTCAACTCACCTCCTTTCTCCCCAGCCTCCCCCCGCACACACACTACATTCTCTCTATGCTCTTCAAGGCTTCCCCCAGCTTAGACTGGGAGCCCTAGAAAATATTGACATCCTAGTCAGCAGATGCTACTTGACTTGATAAGCTATTTCCCCCTATGGGCCAAGCTCTGCCTAACAGATTAGCTGTGTAATTGAGAGCAAGGTGTCTGCAGCCCCCAGAGGTTCCATGCTTAGCAATGAGGTGAGGAGAGGTGGTTAGAGGGATTGTTCTTGAAGAGGAGGGAAGAGGACAAGCTTGGTTTCTAGAGACTTCTACAATGTCAAATTAGCAGGGACCTGCGTGAGGATGGAGGTTCTAAACTCTGAGGGCCAGTGGGAAGGGAGTTGAGTAGCAGAATCCCATGGGTTCACTGATGCTAACTCCAAGGTCCTTATATTCCATTTTTCCTTTTGAGGTGCTGAGAGGCAGGTAGCTAGGACAGTGAGGGGCTAAGAGAGGACACAGCATCTACAAAATTACTATGTTTGGGAAAGCTGGGGGCAAGCTCCCAAATAAAGCATTCACCTTTACCTGCTGGAGAAATGATTGCTGCACAAAAGCTGGGTTCTAAAACTAATTAAAACCCACCAGGGACACAGGCTTTGAAGTGTAATTTTCAGCTTAAAGGGATGAGCCTGCTGCTCCAGGCTAGTGAAAACAGAAGAAATTCAGCAAAAACAAATAGTTTTTCTCACTGAAACATTTCAGATGGAAATTGTGTTTTGGAACATAAGACCAAACCCAAATATGCACAAAAATGCAGGGCTCTGGAAATGTAGAAAAGCCCTAAAAGGTACTTCCATCTCTGCACTTTAGCTGAATGAGACCCCCCCAAAAGACAAGCACAGAAAGAATAGCTTCTAATTACTGAGAGTCTAAAGTGTCTGAGACTACATACCTCACGTTATACTTAATCCTTTTAACACACTGTGTGGTGGTATTTTAGATAGGGAAACTCACAAAGACTCAGAGAAACAAACCAATTGGTTAACAAAGCCAAAATTAGGACCCAAGCCTGTCTGACTCCAAGAAATGGGAATCTGCAGGGACAAGATTGTGTATGTGTAGAGATGTTTTGGGTGCCATTTCTGTGACAAGAATATGTTACCCTGAATTAGCCACAGATCTCTTCCTCGGTCGTTGCTCTTCCCTTTTTCTACTATTATTCCTCATATTTGCATAATATTTTAGTGAAAAAAGCTAGACTATATCTGCTATGTCTGAATATATCCCCTTTATATGGAAAGCTAGTCCCCAAAGTGACTGTACTAGGAAGTGGGGAATCTAGGAGTTAATTAGGTTAAGAAGGCAGGGTCCTCAAGAATAGGTTTAGTAGGCCAGCAGGTGGCATAGTGGTTAAGGTACTGAACTCCCATAAGGTCAAGGTTAAGTCAGGGACCTCAAAGCTTGCTTTCTCACTTTCTCTCCCTCCCTCCTTTCCTCCCTCCCTCTCTATGGTAAGTGCACATGCCCTATCGCAAATTTTAAAAAATAATAAAAAATAAATAAAAATTAAAATAATTCCTTGTTTAAGAAAAATAGGGTTAGTGCCCTTAGGAAAGACAGGAAGAGAGACACTGTCAATCAGTCAGTCCAGAGAGCTGCCTT